TGTGCGGCGGCACCGAGGGCGTCGCGGCGCTCGGGAGGGCCGTTGGCTGCTCGGGTGGTCATGCGGCGCGTGCGCACGAGCTGCACGGCGGCGAGGAGCGGCACCAGTGGGCGAGGCGGGACGAGGCGGCGACGGGCAAGGAGGAGTTCAGCACGACGACCTACCTCGGCGACGTGACGACCTACGTCAAGACGACGAGGCCCATCGTCAACCCTGGGTGCGTCCGTCTCGCCCGGTCCTGGGCTCGCCGAAGCGCTCCTCGTCGAGCGCTGCGGCCGGGCCCTGCTCGCCCGTGTGTACGCGCCGCTCACTCGCTTGACTCCCTGCAGCGGCTACACGTTCGGCACCCTCACGGGCTACGTCCCCGTCCCGACCACGACCGCGTCGTCGACCGCGGCCGCCGTCAACAGCACGTCCTCGTCGCCGTCCTCGCTCGAGCCCCCCGCCCCTTCGAGCGCGTCCTTCTCGCGCTCGGTCACGTCCCTCCCCGCCGCACCGACCTCGTCCTCCCCGCCCTCGTCCGCCCCGGCCTCAGCTTCGAGCGCGCCCGACACGCGTGAGCCCTGGGCCTCGCGCGACGCCGACGCCGACGCCGCCGAGTCGTCACCCGCCGCCACGCCGTCCGCCGCTCGTCGCCTCGTCAAGCGCGCTGCAGCGCCCGAGCCGGCGTGGGACTTTGCCGGCGTCGATGCGCACTTGCTGCACCGCCGCGGCGAGGACTTTGAGGCGGCCGAGGGCGAGGCGGCGTCGTCGCAGGTCCAGATACAGGAGCAGGAGGAGGCGACGGTTACGGGCAAGGAGGAGTTCAGCACGAGCACGAACCGGCAGGGAGGGGTCGTGACGCTCGTCAAGACGACGAGGCCCATCGTGCGTCGTCGCGTTCCCTCTCTGTCGCGCTTGTTCCGCTACGAGCACGCACACTGATACCTGCTTCGCGTTGCTTGCACAGGTTAACCCTGGCGGCTACGTGATTGGCACCCTCGACGGCGCCTGGGTCGACGTCGCCCGCCAGACGGACCGCACGACCCTCCCGCCCTCGCCGACCTCGACCCTCGCCGCCGTCACCTCGTCGTCGTCGCGCACCTCGGTCCTCGACGCGGCTCCAGCGTCGAGCGTCGACGCGCCGACGACGACCGCTGCCCCGGCGCCGCCGGCGCACAAGCGCGCGCACGACGAGCTGCGCCGCAGGAACGTGGTGCAGCTGGCCTGAGCGGGCCCCTCGTCCGCGCCCTGCTCGACGCCGCACCTCGGTGGCAGTCGACGTGACACGCTGGTCGTCGTCGTCGTCGATCCCCCCGTCGCCCCTGTCTACACTACCCTCTCTCTCTTTCCCCTTCGTTCCGACCGCCGTCGGCTCTCGGACCCGCACTTTTAGTTCGCCCTCGTTCCTCGCTAGACTTGTCTCGAGCGCCGGTCGCTTGCGCGTGTCTCCCCTTATGCAACGCACTCGAGTGTATTCTGCGACGCGCGCGCGGGCCCCTTGCGAGAGACGATCTCGGACTGCGAAAGCCGAAAGGTCTCGACGACGACGCCCAGGCCTTGCACACGGTCGGCGACGGGCTCAGCTCTCTGCGCGCGCGCCCCTGTGCTGCTGCTCTCGTCGACAACGCACACGAGCAAGGACGAGCAGGGCCGAGCATTTCGCACCGCGCTTTGATCCGCGCCCGACCCCGCCCTCGCGCTCGCCTCGCTGCACCATCACCACCCGCGTCGACTCGCTGCCGACCCACCTCTCGACCCACGGCACCGGCACCCTCGAGCTCTTCGTCCCTGCACTCGACACGACCTTGGCCACCTCGCAGAGCCCGTCTCGAACCGGTGCGTCCCCTGCATCCCTCTGCGCGACCTCTGTGGGGGGCGCGAGCTGGGGCAGTCCGGTCCCACCCTCCTCGGCGTCGGATTGCGACGGACGCCCGGCCAGGAGCACGAGCAGGGTACCTCGAGCGACGGAGCGGCGCAGCGAGTGCGATCCTGACGGCGAGGACCGTCAGGCCGCGTCGGATCCCGGAACCCGATCGAGGACGAGGTGTCGGCAGCAACGAGGGCGCCAGAGCAGCCTGCGGAACGAGCACCTTACTGACGACCCTCTCGAAGCGTGCGACGCAGCCGTACCTCGTTCGCCCCAAGCCGTACCGAGTGCCACCTCGTACCCGCGCCTCCTCCCTCCGTCGACTCGGTCGACCTCGGCTTGCACAACCCGCGCCCTCTACCGGTTCAAGGCCCGCCACCACCTCGTCCTCCTTCACCTCGCCGACCCAGCTCCCCTCCTTCCTCCCGCGCCGAGAGCGCCCCCTCCTCCCAATGTCGGCGTCGCTCAGCGGCAACTTTCCCCTCACGTCGTCACGGCGACAGCGCCGTCCGTCGTCGGGCCTGTCGTACTCGTCGCCCGACGTGCCCCAGCTCCACTCGATGCCGACCCGCGTCGAGTCGCCCCAGACACACCCGCCCCAGGCCGGGCCCTACCTGCACGCCCACGCGCACGGCCACGCCCACGGCCACGGCCACGGCCACGGTCACGCCGGCGCCGGCGGCACCGCCGTCGGCCTGCACCCGTTGACGCCCATCTCGAACCCGTCCTCGAGCTCGCAAAGGTCGGCGAGCCCTGGCGGCGCGGGCGGCGGCGTCGGCAGCGCTGCGGCGAGCAGCTCGTCGCTGTCGCTCACGAGCGTTTCGTCGTCGTCGACGAGCCACACGACGACGACGGGCATCTCGCGCGCGAGCTCGGTCCGCTCGACGTCGTCGGTCCAGGCCGTCCCGATGCGCAAGCCCCAGCGAGGGCCCGTCGTGCCCCGCATCGTCACGCGCGGCATGAACGCCCTCGGCGCGTACGGCGTGCCCTCGTCTGCGCCGAGTCCGACTCGGCCCCCTCAACCCGGACAGCAGTACGTCGCGACGGGCTCGTCGTCGTCGCCGAGCGGCAAGGGCAAAGCGCGCGACGACTCGACCGCGGGCGGCGGCGGCGGCGGCGCCACTGAGCGGCCCTCGATGCCGGGTTGGCGTCGCCGCCGCGGCGACGGCCTCTCGACGTCGTCGACGACGACGACCACGCGCGACCCGCTCCCGTCACCCGTCCACGAGGGCGGCTCGGCAAGCCCCTCGTCGCCGTACCCGCCTCCCCTCGCGCCCGACGGCGGTGGCGGGCCCAACGAGGGCTGGCGCTCGCCCGGCGCAAGGGTCGACAGCCCCGCACGAGCGACTTTCCCCGGCGGCGAGGAGTGGGCCCGCCCAAAGTACGACCGCTCCGACTCGTCGCGCCGTGACGACGTCGTGCGCGTGCGCAACTCGAGCTCGTCGACGACGACGACGCTCGCCAGCGTCAACGGCAACGGCACCGGCCGTCCCGGGTCGGGCTCGTTCTCGCCGCCGCGCTCGCCCGCCGCGGCGGTGCACCCGGGCCGCCCCGTGCGGCACGAGCGCGAGCTGAGCTCGGCGAGCGGGAGCACGGCGGGCCCGACCTCGCCGCGCAGTCCGAGGGTCGGGCGCATCGGTGCCGGCGGCGGCGGCGGCGGTGGCGGTGCGCCAGACTGGGGCGCGGTCGGCGAGGCGAGGCGAGTGAGCGCGGGTGCGGGCGCGGCGGGCCGAGGGTCGGGTTCGCAGTCGAGCGCGAGCGCCGAGCGAGGGAGCCCGCTCATCGGCATGACGCCCAACGCGATGGGCGTCGTCGGGAACCGGAGGAGCACCGAGGACTTTGAGTTTGGCGAGGTGCTCGGCGAGGGGAGCTACAGCACGGTGCGTCCCTCGCGCTCTCTCTCTCTCTCTCTCTCTCCCTCGTCTCGGTCCCTGGCTCTCCCCGACCGCCACTGACTGGCTTCGCCGCGCACACAGGTCACACACGTCACGACGGTGCACCCGCCGTACCGCCAGTACGCGCTCAAAGTCCTCGACAAGGAGCACATCAAGCGCGAGCGCAAGACCAAGTACGTCCTCATCGAGCGCGACACGCTCAAGGCGCTCGACGGCCACCCGGGCGTCGTCAAGCTGTGGTGGACCTTCCAGGACGAGTGGAGCCTCTGTGCGTCTGGCGTCCGTTTTCCCCTCGAGTCGACTTGCGCGGCGAGGCGACTGGGCTCGCCCTCGTCGCGCTGCTACGAGGACTCGTCCTGACCCACTCTCTCGCATACAGACTACGTCCTCGAGTACGCCGAGAACGGCGAGCTGCTGCACTGGATCAAGAAGGTGCGCCCGTGCTCGTTTTCCTTCTGCTCCCTCCCTCTCGAGCGACGCCTGACCTCGACTCGCCCGGCCGCAGTACGGCTCGTTCGACCTGCGCTCGGCCCGGTACTACGTCGCGCAGATCCTGAGCGCTGTCGGCTTCATGCACGAGAAGGGCGTCATCCACCGCGACCTCAAGCCCGAGAAGTGAGTCGCGCGCTCGATCCCCGACCCGGCGGTCGCTCTTGCAGCGACTTGTTCTGGTTCAGCGTGACCTATCGCGGGACTTACACTCCCTCGCACCCGCAGCATCTTGCTGGACCAGACGATGCGTGTCAAAATCACCGACTTTGGCACGGCCAAGTTGCTCAAGCAGGACGAGATCAAGGCCGGCCAACCCACAGACGGTGCGCCCTGCCTTCCTCCTCTCGCTCGCCCCTGCGGCGCAGCGTCCTGACCCTCCTCGTTGTCCGACAGACCCGCAAGGACGGCCTCGAGCGCGCTCGTTCGTCGGCACGCCCGAGTACGTCAGCCCTGAGATCCTGAGCGAGGGTCGCGAGTCGAGCTTCTCGTGCGTCTGCCTCTTTCTCCCTCCCTCTCTCTCCCTCGTCCTCGCCATCTCACTGACCCTCGTGCACGTGCGCAGGTCCGACTTTTGGGCGCTCGGCTGCATCCTGTACCAGGTCCTCGGCGGCCGGCCGCCGTTCCAGGCCCGCACCGAGTACCTCATGTTCCAGAAGATCGTCAACCTCGAGTACGAGTTCCCGCTCGGGTTCCCTGCCGACGCCAAGGACCTCATCGAGAAGCTCCTCGTGCGTCTCGAGCCCTCTCGGTCTTGATCCTTCGTCGACGACCCTGACCCTCCCTCTCTTGCGCAGGTTGTCGACCCCAAGGCGCGACTCGGGGGCGACCCGGCCAACGGCAACGGCATCGAGGCCGTCATGGCGCACCCGTTCTTCACGTCGCACATCCCGCCTCGCGCACCCTCGCCCGACGAGCAGCGCCGGCGCGACCGCGCCGAATCGGAGCTGTCGACGCCGCCGTCCGACTCGGTCGCGTCCTCGCTCCGCAACGAGCCAACCTCGGCCGACGAGTCGACCTCGACGCCGGCGTCGTCCGTCCTCGCGTCGGGCAAGCGCGACGACCGCTACGTCATCAACGCCGGCGACAGCTTTGCGGGCCTCACGCTCGGCACGCCCGTCGACACGCCGCCGGCGTCCAACACGCCGCGCGCGATCGACCACACGCCGCACTACCCGTTCGGCCAGCCCGAGGAGCCGCTCGACGCGCCCATCGACTGGTCGACCATCTGGACGATCGAGCCGCCACAGATCCACACGGGCCTGACGCCGCCGGCACCGACCATGCGCGGCGAGTTTGTGCTCCTCGGCGGCGACGGCACGTCGTCGTTCGCGCCGTCGACGATGGGCACGGGCCTGACGGGGCAGCAGTCGTGGAGCGGGTCGGCCAACGAGCCCGCGTCGGGCTCGGGCTCGCAGGAGGGCGGGTACCCGGCGTCGGGGCAGCGGCGGCAGGACGACGAGGACGAGGACGGGTGGGAGGAGAACGGCGACGACCGAGGGTCGATCTCGGACGACTACGCCGAGCCGGGCTCGCCGACGAGCACGAGCGGGCAGGACCTCCCGCCGGCCTCGACGTTCGGCGGCGGCAAGTGGGGCAACGTCCTCCTCCCGTCCGAGTCGATCCTCCTGTGCTCGCCCATCCTGCAGCGCCCGTCGGCAGCGCGGCAGGCCCTCCTGCGCAGCAACCCGCTCAAGTTCCCGCGCTCGCTCCTGTCGACCTCGTCGTCGTCGTCGAGCGCCTCGCCCGGCGCGTCGCCGCACAACGGCACCGTGCCGCTCCCGGCCCCGTCGCCGCCCATCAACCCGAGCAACGGCCTCTTGACGTCGGGCGCGCCGTCGCCGCCGCTCGCCGCCGGGCCGTCGCCGCACCTCGGGTGGAAGCCGCGCACGCTCCTCCTCACCGACTACCCGCGCCTGCTGTGCGTCAAGGAGGCGCCCGACAAGCTGTCGGTCAAGGCCGAGGTCTTCCTCGGTGCGGCACTGCGCGGCGGCGTGCGCCGGGACGGCGTGTCGGCGTTCATCGCGGTCGAGAGCCGCGGCAACGACGGCAAGGAGTTTGTCGTCCGCACGGTGCGTCGCCCTCGCCCTCTCTCTCCTTCCCTTCTCTCTTTCGAGTACGCTGAACTGACTCGTTCTTCTCTCGCCCCCAGTCTGCACGGTCGCTCAAGTTTGCCGAGCCGCACGGCCAAGCGTCGCGGTGGATGCACGAGCTGCGCGAGGCGCACCGAGCGGGCCTCATGCAGCAGCCGCCAGATGAGACCTGCGCACGCCTCGCTCCCCTTCGTCGTCGTCTAGCCTCCCCCTCCCACCCTTCCTTCCCTCCCTTGCACTCCCCTCGCGAGCTTAGCCGCTAGATGATCTTGTCGTCCCTCGCCCCTCGCCCTCCCCTACCTCTCTCGCACTGCATCGCGACCTTTCTAGGTTGCCCTCGCTGTCTCTGCTTCCGTCTCGCGCGAGAGGAGATCCGCTAGGACGAGAGCCGCTCTTGTCATCGAGCGCGAGTCGACCTTCTCAAGTCGACGCTTCTCTTCCCCCGTCCCGCTCGTCGCTCGTTTTGAGCTTCACGGCTGCCGCGTCGGCTTCCGCTTGTGCTCGCGCCCTCGGCTTGCTCCGGACCGGCGTCGCACACGCCGCTCGTCGCGGGGCGGCCCCAGCTGGCCGCTCGCGTTCGTCTCGTCCGCGGACTCTCCCCGGTCCGTCCCTCGTTCCTCTCGCTCTCCTTCCTCCCAGTCCAGCCGCTCACCTGCCACTCTCGACGTGCCGCAGGATGAAGAAGATCTTCAGCACCAAGCGCGGCAAAAATGGCGGGCAGGCGTGGGACGCAGCGTCGGGGGCGGGCCAGTTTGGCGCGTTCAGCGGTGCGCCCTTTGCTCTGCTCCTCCGCCTGCGCCTCGACATGCGCGTGAACTGACGGCCCTCGAGTGCGCAGGTGCAGCTACGCCGCCGTCGCTCATGGCCCGAGCCGACTCGTCGCACGGCCTCGTTCGCCCGACGCCGACTTACGGCACCCCTTCCCCTCAGCCGCCCTACCCGACCCCGCCAGCAACCATGGCCTCGCCGCCCATCCAGTACGACGGCGCGACGAGCCGCATCATGACGCCGACGCTCGCGCCCCTCGCCATCCCCGGCGGCATCATGTCGGAGCGCGCCGCCACGGGCACGACGAGCACGGTGCCGCAGGTCGTCGCGCAGGGGCAGCAGGTCGTCGCCGAGACGGATTCGGGCGCGTACGTCGCCGAGGTCGAGGGCAAGCTGAGCGTCGGGATCGACTTTGGGTGCGTCCGCCTCTCGCGCGATCGTGCTCCTTTGCGTCGCCCGCGTCGGGTGGACGTGGGGAGCTGCTGTCTACGATGTCGCTGGGCGCACACGAAGCGCAGCACTGACACCTGCTCGCACTCGCAGAACCACGTTCTCGGGCGTCGCCTTTGGGTCGAACCGCAACATGAACGGCCAGATCCGCTGCATCTTGAGCTGGCCCGGCTCGTACGAGACGTACCGCAAGGTCCCGACCTGCATCGCCTACTACCAGCCGACGCCGTCGAGCGAGGCCGTCATCGTCGCGTGGGGCATCGAGGCCAAGGCCATGACGCTGCGCGAGGGCTTCTTCAAGTGCGTCTTCCTGTCTCTCTCACGGGGCATCTCGTTCTGGTACTGACGTCCCTCTTCGTCGTGCAGGGTCGAGTGGTTCAAGCTCTTCCTCGACCCGACCGTCCTGCGCGAGGGCCGCCTCGCGTCGAGCGCGCGCCTTCCCGACCTTCCCTACGGCAAGGAGCCGATCGATGTCGTCACCGACTACCTGTCGTGCCTGTGGAAGTACGCCAAGGAGCGCATCACGGACGAGATCGGCTCGGTTGCAGACTTGGGTGCGTCCCCCTCCTCCTTTTCCGCCTCGACTTGTCGAGAACGACGTTCCTGACCTCCCCTTGCACGCGCCTGCAGAGGCGGCCGATGTCATCCTTACGGTACCGGCGGCGTGGGACGCGGCGGGGTGCCAGATGATGCGCACGGCGGCGATCCAGGCGGGCATGGTGCAGAGCGCGAGAGGCGGCGACCGCAACTGGCGGGAGCGACTGCGCATCATCACGTGCGTCCCTCTCGCCCTCTCAGACTTGACCGTCCCGACTTGACGAGCGCTCTCCTGTCGACAGCGAGCCCGAGGCGGCGGCCATTCATGCGTCGACCCTGAGCAACCTTCTCAACCTGCGCCCGTCCCAAGCGTTCGTCATCTGCGACGCCGGCGGCGGCACGGTCGACACGGCGGCGTACAAGCTCATCGGCCAGCTGTCGAACCTCGAGATTGCCGAGATGTGCGCACGGACCGGCGCCAACGCCGGGTCGCTCTTCATCGACTTGCGCTTCGAGGCGCTCGTCAAGAGCCTGTGCGTCCTCTTTTCTCTCCCGGTCTATCTTCTGCTGCGTGCCTGACTGACCCTGTCGTGCCCATGCAGTCTGCGCAACCACCCTGTTCACCTCGACGAGGCGTCCCTGCTCGCCTTTCGCCACGCCTTTGCCGAGTGCGACAAGCTCCTGTTCTCGACCGCCGACGACGACACGCACTTCCGTTTCAACTGCTTCAACATCGAGGACGCGCACGACCCCGAGTGCGGCCTCGAGTACGGCGAGCTCGTCATCCCGGGCAGCGTCATCCGGCGAGACGTGTTCGAGCCTGTCGTCCGTGCGTCCGCTCTCTCCTCTCCTCTCGCCGTTCAACTCCTCGCCCCGCACTGACCTTCCCTCGCCCATCTGCAGAGCAGGTCCTCGACCTCATCGAGGTCCAGCTCGCTAAGGTTCCGACGACGCACCAAGGGGTCCAAGCGCTCATCCTCGTCGGCGGTTTCGCCGCCTCCGAGTACCTGTGCTCGCGCGTGCACGAGACGTTCAGCGCGCGCATCCCCGTCATCGCCAAGCCGAGGGACACGGACGTCGCGACGCTCCAGGGCGCGGCGAGGTATGGACTTGGGCTCATCGGCGGCAAGGCGACCGTGTCGAGCGTCATCAGTCCGAGGTGCGTCCCTTCTCTCGCAGTTCATCGTGTTCTCGGAGGGGCCTTGACTGACCTTCTCGCCCTTGCAGGTCCTACATCATGAAGTGCAAGCTGCCTGCGTCCGACGAGGACCGTTACCAGCGACCGGGTCCGTCTCTCTCTCTCTCCCTCTCCACCTCGTCGACGAGCCCGACTCTGACTGACTCGAGCCCCGTCGCAGGCTTCATCGTCCGCAACGACGCTGGCATCGAGGTGTGCGAGAACCGCCTGAGCTACCTCGTCGCGAAAGGAGGTGCGTCCCGGGCCTTTCTCCCTCTCGAGCTCGAGCGAGGCCTGAGCGACATGAGATGACCTTCTCAAACTGCAGCCGTCCTCCGCAAGGGCCAGCGCCTGCGCTCTCGCTACTGCAAGGTGGGCAGGCGTCTCCTCTTTCGCCCGTTGCCCGTCTATCGATGCGCGACGAGCTCGAGCTTGTGGAGGGTGTCGCTCACATCACCGTCCCCTCTGATGCAGTTCTCGCGCTCGCCGCAAGACAGCGTCTTTACGGCCGTACTCTATGTGTCGGACAGCGACAAGATCTACCGCTACACGGACGAGGGCCCGATCGAGGAGCTGTGCCGATGGAGCGTCGACCTGTCGGCGCTGCCGTCGTGGGCGCGAGCGGCCGAAAGCGCGACCGGCAGCTTCTGGGTCGAGTTCGATCTAGCCCTCGTCGTTGATTCGGCCGAGGTACTTGGCGTGCTGCTCACGGACGAGGGAGAGGAGGTGGGTCGGGCACACTTTGAGTATCTCGGCAACTGAGCGAGCGGGCCTCTCACTCCATCCTTCTCGACCCGGCTCTCTGGCGCGTGCGAGACCGAGAGGGAAAGTGAAAACGACCGTGCAGTGCAAGCGACCGACTCGACAGACCTCCTCACGCTCCTCCACCTCGTCAACTCGCCGCAGCGGCACCCACCGAGCCCCGCCCCTCCTCGTACAGCCTCGCTCGCCGCTCGTCGCCCTCGTCCCACCCGCCCCGCCCGTCCGCCCTCAGCATCTCGAGCGCGGCGCACACCTGCGCGCCGGCGAGCGCGTGCGCGTCGAGAAAGTCGGCGAGGCCGAGGAAGGATGCGCGGGCGTGGGCGAGCGCTGGGGCGCGGAACGCGAGCGGGATGGTCGACAGCTGGCCGGCTGCGGGACGGCGGGCGCGTGGGCGAGAAGGGGTCAGTGACTGGGTCGAGAGGGCAAAAGAGCGAAGGATAGTCGTCGAGAGAGAAAAGAGAGAGAGGGCGACGCACGCATCCACCTCGCGAGAAACTCCTCGGCCGCGACGGGCAGCTCGTCGACGCTCGAGATGCCGGCGCGCGTGCACATGCGCGCGAACGACTGGTGGTGCAGCATCGTGTCGTCGTCGTCGTCGAGCGAGTAGGGGCACGCGGTCGGGTCGAACGGCGGCGGGACCGACTTGGTGCAGTAGAGCGAGTGCGCGTGGGCGACGAAGAGCGAGGGGAGGGTGCGGGTCTGCGACGGGGCGGTCACGACGAGAGGAGAATAAATGCGGGCGCAGAGAGAGAGAGAGCACGCGAGGAGGAAGGGGACGCACCCGCTTGGCGACGGCGAGCGACTCGGCCGCGGCCTTCTTCCACGCCAACTTGCGCTCCTCCTCCGTCCCGAGCCCTCCTCCACCCGAGCCCGAGCCCTCCTGCACACCGCCGCCGCCGCCACCCCCTCCCGCCCCCGAGTCCTGCGCCGCCCCCGGACTCGCCGCCGCGAGCTGCTCCCTGAACCGCTCAAACTCCTCGACGAGCCCTCCCGTCCCTGCTCCTGCTCCTGCTCCTCCCGCCCCGCTCGAGCCCTGCTCCGCCTCTGCTCCGCCCGAGCCCGCGACCAAGCCCGCAGCACGCTCCCTCAGGCGCCGGCTCCACTCCTGCGCCTGGGCGCCAAAGTCGGCCGCGCCGTGCTTGCGCTTGACGCCGCGCTGCAGCTCGTCGCCCGCTCCTCCTCCTCCTCCTCCTCCTGCCCCTCCCTCGACGCCCTCGGCGCCCTCGTCCTGCCCCTGCGCGGCGTCATCGAGCGAGGACGCTGGCGGGAACCCGCCCTGGATGGACGCGAGCGCGGGGAGCCACGCGTGCGCCGCCGCTGCCGCCGCCGAGGTCGTCGGATCTGGGTGTGGGTGTGGGTGCTGGTCGGGCGTGTGCGCAGCGCCAGGGCCGGCGGGAGGGCCGGGCGAGGGCGAGGGGAGCGTGTAGATGGACAGGGGGAGGAACGACGGCTGGGCGCTCGTGCTCGCGCTCGAGGAGGGAGGGGGAGGGCGCCGAGCGCGGGCGGCGAGGGGTAGTAGGGCGCGGTGCTGAGGCTCGTCGGAGGCGGGAGCGAGGGGAGCTGAGGCGGGACGGGGAGGTCGAACGGGTGCGCGGTCGTCGACGACGACGATGCCGAGGCCGATGCGGACGCGAGGGCCGGGTCGAGCTCGAACGGCTGGTGGTGGTGGAGCTGCTGGTGGTGGTGATGGTGCGGGTGGTGGGGGTGGGAAAAGACGTGCGCGAGGGGCTCGTGCGGGTGCGAGGACGAGGACGAGGGCGGCGGCGGGTACGGCGCGATGGGCGGCAGGTGCGCGATCGAGACGGGCGACTGAGCGCCTGCGCTGCCGCCCTTGGCCGCCATGCGCTTCTGGCGCGGCTTCTTGCCGACAGCGGCCCCGCTCGACTCGGCGGCGCCGCCGCCGAGCGCCGTCGACGACGACGAGGGCGAGTCGACGCCGGCGGGAGCGGGCCACTCGTCGGTCAGGGCGAGCTCGCCGCGGAGCGAGGCCTGGATGACCTCCTTGCCGCGCGGGTGGTCGGTCACGCCGCTGAGGGCCGGGGTCGAGAAGGTGTAGACGAGGCCCGACTCGGACACGACGAGGACGAGGCAGTCGGTGCCGGTCAAGGTCGACAGCTCGTACGCCTGCGAGCGAGCGAACGCCGCACACGGACTCGAGTCAGTCGGCGCACGAGGAGAGCTCGTGGGGAAGGAGGAGGAAGAGCGAGCGCGAGGGAGACGCACCTTTTTCATGAGGCCGCTCTTGCGCTTGGTGAACGTGACGTGACGCCTCGGTTTGTCCTCGATGAATTGGATCGAGATCTTGCGGCGGCCGACGCTCTGCGTGTTGCGCTTGTTCGGGTGCTTGGTCGTCGTCGTGCCGGCGCCGGCGCCGCCTGCTGCTGCCGACGAGCCCTTGCCCGTGCCCGACTCGCCGTCGCCCTCGTCGTCGTCGTCTCCCTCCCCCTCGCCGTCCTCGTCGCCCTCTCCCTCTCGCTCTCCCTCTCCCTCATCCTCGTCCCCCTCACCGACCGCCGCCTCCTCCCGCTCTCCCGTCCCCTCGCCGCCGCCCCCCTCCCCCTCCCCCTCCCTGACCACATTCGCCCCGCTCCTCTTCCTCCCACTCATGCGCCGCACGCCCGACGCAAATTTGGGCTCGACGCGCCCGGCACTCGCAGAAGGGTGCGGCTGCGCGGCGCGCGACGTGGCCTGCTCGGGCGCGGCGGCGAAGCGCACGCCCGTGAGCGGGTCGCGCGTGAGGGTGCCTTTGACCATCGCTCTCGAGGTGGAGGTGCGGGTGCGGGTGCGGGGTGCGGCGGTCGTGCGCGAGAAGAGGGATCGGTCGCGGGCGGGGGCGAGGGTGGGGGAAGGGCGAGGCGAGGAGGAGGAGGGGGAGCGGGCGTGCAAGTGGGACCTGTGGGCGGGGCGCAGGGGCATAGTCAGTGTTGCGTCCTGGACTCGCAAGACGGAGCGGCGGACTCGCCCGCACACGCTCCAGGCGAGGACCGAGGCTCGAGAGATGAAGACGCGGGGACGGTGTGGGCGCGGGCGGGGGGGCGGGCGAGCGCGCACGCGAGGTGGCAGCAGGTGCGCAGGCGACGGTGCGGGCGCTGCTGGTGAGCGAGATGCGCGTGAACCGAGAGCGGCGAGAGCGAGAGCGCTGAGCGGAGCGCGTTCGCCCGCGAGATCTCGAGGCGGACCGAGTCTCGCACTTTCTCTGCTTGCGAGCCTGGTCTCCTCGAGTGCGTGCGCGTATGCAGACGACCTCGCTCTCAGCTCCCAGCTCTTACTCGACGACTCTGGTGCGCACGCCGGCTCTCGTCGAATCTTCCGAGTCGGGCACCTCTCGCGCACCTGCCCCTCGAGGGAGCACCTCGCACCCACGCGCCGCCGTACTCGGGCGACGACAACGTTACGACGACCGACTCGACCAAGGGCGCGGACGAGAAAGAGGACCCCGCGAGTCGAACGAGGGCAAAACGCGCGGCGGCAAGTTACAACCACAAGGGGGGACGACGACGACGGGGGTTGCACGCGGACTCTCGAGAGCGAGAGAGAGAGAGAGAGGTCGGGGGCTGAGAGGCAAAGCAGCGAGTAGGGGGAGGACGAGGACGAGGAACGACGAGAGAGACAGGGAGGGGGAGGACTCAGAAGCCCTCCTCGGCCGAGCGGCGCACGAGCCGCCGCACCTTCTTGCGGTAGCCCTGCGGGTCTTCGCGCACCTCCTTCTGTGCATCCGGACGACGAGAAGCCACGTCAGTCCTGTGCGCTCGAGAACAAGAGAGAGACCGACGAGAGAGGCAGAAGAAGGGGGGACGCACCGCCGCGTCAACGTTGGCGGGCGAGTTGATGTCGGGCGTCTCTTGCGACAGGAGCGAGATGACCGAGATGAGCTGTGTGTCCCGAGGCCGTGTCAGTGCTCGCTCTGGCTTTCGCGCAACACGAAGAGACGAGCCGCCGACGCTGAGCGTCCTCGAATCGCCGCAGGCCGCCCGACCGAGAGAGAGAGAGAGAGGGGGGGACGCACGATCGACTCGACCGTGTGCACGGGCAACCACCGCTCGCTCGCGTCCTCGTACCCGTACTGGTCGACGCCCGGCTCGTGCAGGATCGAGATGCACAGCTCGCCGTTCTTGTAGACTGGGCGGGTCGCTCGGGGCCGGGTCAGGTCTCGCTGTGCATCGCGCTCGAGAGAGAGAGAGAGAGAAGGGACGCACTGTTGGGGTGCCACATCTCGGTGAGGAACTTCATCTTGGGCGGGCGCAGGGGAAAGTCGGGCGGGAACGACAGCAGCGCGCGGAAGAAGCCGCCCTCGTACAGCGTGTCGGGCGGGCTGTGTGAGTGGTACAGCCTGACGATCAGCTCCTGCGTGCATCTTGCGCACCCAGAGAGGAGAGAGGCTGGAGGACCCACCCAAAGATGGTGATCTCCCACTCGAACACGTTGTCGTCGTCGACGAGCCCGGCCGAGAAGCCCTCGACAGGGTGCTTGCGGAGCTCTGTGTGTGCCCGTCGAGCGAAGCTGTCAGCCCCCTCGTTCTGGGTGCGCGCGCGCGAGCAGCGCCGAGCGGGGTCCTCGCCGCGCCGACGCGACGCGCGCGTGCGGGAGAGAGAGAGAGAGGGGGGGGAGGGTAGGGACGCACGGTTGAGCTGTCGGGTGAGCTGTAGCGCGGCGGACGAGGTGGCCATGCTGGGGTTGGGCGGCGAGTGCGAGGCGGCCCGGCGGAAGATGATGAGGGGGAGGAGAGATGAGACGAGGA